GATTCGCGAATATTTCAAAGATCTGACAAAACGGTTCTTCGATAGAGCCGAACATCATCCCAACCCTCTGGTGGTAAGCGCAGCAAATTACCAACCCGACACAAACGCGAACGTCAACAGCGTCGCCCGCGAAACGTCCTCATCGACCCGGTCGAGGAAGGGGACTTAGATACGCCGGACCCACCGCCGGGGGTCCCGCCGGATAACACTACACCCACAGCTAGTGTACCAACAAACACAATAGTTCGCCCTCGCCTCCGAGCACGGCGAGACCAACACAACGCGTACACAAGGTACACCCGCGTTCCGGGCGGTTCTCACCGCCCGCAGCCACCGATTAGCTAAAAACACAGTCGACGGCCATCGGGGTCTCGGTCCGCACCGCAACTTCGATGGCCCTTAGACGACATGTCATAGTTAAACGCATGCATGAGCACATGCGCGGCCCTACCCACAGCGGAGGGCCCAAACCCGTGGGTTCTGGCTAGCCCACCGGTTCTGCGTCAGATGAAGCTTTAATAGTCTCGGGACTGAAAGCAAAAACATCAGTTAATACAAAATAATACAAGACGGTAGATACTTATCAGAACATCCGCTTTTTCAGAGAAAAATGGAACGAACCAACCAAAACCCCGATATCCGTAATAAATAAATTGGCCACGCTTAAACAGCATTGGGTTGTGCTTTAACTGAAGTAAATCCAGCGCCTGAAAATATTCTTCTGTGGAAGATCAAAAACAGCTTCCATGACTTCGCCCTCTATACAGTTGAAGTGAAAGTACAATTCATCAGGTGAACAGATTGTTTATTGGTCAATAATGCCTATGAATCAAAATATATATTTCACACTTTAGTAGGGAACGGATAGCCAGTGAAATATGTAATGGTTTTCAACACAAAAGCATTCGCACAACAATAGTCTCTGCGGAGTACACATGGAAATTTGCTTGTTTTTATTTTCCGTTCAATAAATATCGGATATATTGCGTAGCTCGGCGGTCAAAGTTTGAGGCTACTAGGTTACCTTCAACAGCCATAACAGTCTGTGTGACTCGCAAACGGCTGATTTCATTTCAGTTATACTAAATGTATACGTGTTTATTTCAAAAACTTTAAATTCCTTTGTAAGCTGATAGTTTAAACTGTTATAAAAGATTTCACTTAAATTTTTCCAAATTCTTGAGGTCTGAATGATTTAAAATTTTGCACACGTATTAAGAAGCGATGACCACACAATAACTTCAGGACCATGATTACAAAATGTGTTCATCTTCAGCCCTGTAATCCTGCCTACGACAGGGTGTAAACAGTAGATGAAAGAGGACAAGTTCACGATTGAGATGGGGCCCTAAAGGTCTACTAAAGGAGCCAGTAGGGGGCGCTACCACTAACAAGATGTGGTCACGTTATGCCGCAGAGTCCCTTGGATTTTAGGTAAGGCGTTGGTCCTCCTTGGTTTACTGATTGATTGAAAATTCTTTACTACAACAAAAAGTTTGTACTACGTCGAAGTTATTGCTAAATAGCATTTTCCTCCAACCAAACTTTGGTGGATGAGAGCAGGTTGCGGGTAGCCCTAGAAAGTGCCGATGCTATTATGCCTAGTAATGATGGGCCCAGTGCCAAAGATACCAACTTAGGAGATTTCTCCCTAAATTTAGGAAGAAAAAAATTACAATAGAAGCTTTTTAAGAGGTAACTTCAAACCATTTGATTTTTGTGAATTTTTGTGGGTTTTCGAATTGCTATAGGAGTATTTTTTTGAACATTTGGTAACACTGCCCGGTGCATTAATTATCTCTCGATCGTAATGATTCTTACGATCGAGGGAGTCTTTGTCCCTCACATAGAAGTATACCGTTTGGAGACATCCAATAAAGGTGATCGGATGTTGGACGTCGCTAATGCAACATTATAATATTAGATAATTCGCGGATTCGCTTTCGGCGTGCATATCATTATCACGGACGTTGGATAACGGCGGTGACTCGACGATTTCGCGGCTTGTGTAACCTCCCATATGGACTTTCGGCAAGTTTCGTCACGCGGCGCTCCAAAGTCCAATTATTGTGGTAAAACCAGAAAAGTATTCGTGGAATCTTGTATACAGGGAAAAATATGATAGTTTTTATAAAAAGTTCATATAAAGTGCCACTGCTCTTGAACTAATTTAAAAAAAAAAGGAGTTTCTCAATTCTGTTACATTTTTTCAAATTTGTTATCTCAGAGCTCAATCATTTATGAAACGATTTTAAAAATTATTTTTGTTCGGTTTAGCTGTCATGCGATCCTTTAGTAATTTAATTGACATTGGACATTTGTAAAACGTACTTACAACACAGGATAATGTTATCATAAAGGGCAATATTTAAAAAAAAAAAACAGTTGTACCATGGATTCGGGAAATAAAAATAAAAAATAAATACTCGGTGAAAGATTTAAAGACTGTTAAGTTTTTTGTTAATAAAAAGATTTTATTTATTAATATAAAAAGAGTTTCGATGTAACGAAGCAAAGTAATGGTAATTAAGAACCGCTATGTAATGAGCTTTATTTACATACAGAAGTTTTAAAATTATAATCAAGGCCAATTTAGTATACCCATTGTGTTTCTTTGTCAAATAATGGTAAAAAAAATTGCCCCGCTGTTGTTTCTTTCGCCGTTTCTTCTCAGGTCAGTGACTTTTTTCGAACCGGTAGCAGTGTTTTGACAATCAATAAATAAGTGTTATACTTCTATATTGAATAAAATTATTTGATATTTGATAGACAGTAATAAATAATAGTATAGAAACGTACACAGCTGATTTGTAAACGTAATAAGTATGTATATTCTAAAAGTAGTCAATTACCTTACACATGATGCTTGGTCCACATTAAATGAGAACATTTTGCCCGCGGCTGTTTGTATCCAAACTACATTAGGGTAAAACCCAAATTACGTTTTCATAAACATTTTGCAATAAGCCCGATCGAAATAAGTGTTACAGCTGTATCATTAATACGCGTTTTAAAGGAAATTGTTAGCAATTTTTTTATCACTCGACAAATATTTTCGAATATGGCACGTTTTGTATAGCGCATATAATGTAATTATAAACCTATGTTATATCTGCGCGGTCGCAAATTAAAAAAAATCTTTAAAAAATAGTTATATAGAATTCTAATTTTAAATTGCAGCAGGGGTAAGAATTTTATTGCCCTTCGAAAGCGGAAGATTGAGTTATGCCTGAACTCCCACCGACTGATACGGAATTCGAAACAACGAATTGCCATTTACTTAGGCGAAGATTCACTGGATGTCCGTTCAGGGCACTAGATATTCGGGCCCCTTGTTTGCTTGGCTAAAATATCCCCGTCCCGGGGCTAGCATTTCCGTGCAGCCTCGTGGAGGTACCTACTGCTCATTAGCTACATTTGTATCGCCTTGCAAACAAAGGAAATACATATGTTTTCGGAACTTTATATGGCGACTCGTCAATACCTATGTATGAAAATTCTTACGTAAATATAATGAAGTCTAAGTGATAACAAATGTTAGGAGAAATAAAATGTAAAAGAAATAATAATTTTAATCGATAACTATGACATTTCATTGTTTATTTAAATAAAAGCAAAATACAGGTTTTTTTTATTATCTGTAAGATGTAACACGAAAGGACCATGTTCCTTTCGCCAAAAAAGTTACCTGTCTTTTTCAATTAATAAAGTGTGTATTAACTAGGCAATAAAATGAACATTTGCCTCTGCAAATATATTTTTGGCACCATAACTCTGACATAATTTCAGCATTAGAGTCCACTACTGAACATAGGCCTCCCCCAAAGATTGACACGAAGCATGATCCTGAGCCACCTGCATCCATCGACTTCACGTACATTTACACAGGTCGTCACTTCATCTTGTGGCGTTCAGCGTTAGAGTAGTTAGGAAAAGTTTATTTTTATATAATGATTAAGATTGCCCCCTTTTCTGAATACCTGGCCTAAAGGATCGTATTACCGGCAACACACTTTTTCATGAAGGAATATACTTGAAAAGACACTTTAGCGGCTCTTTTGGCAAAAGTACTTTAATCAGGGCTGGGGCAGCTTTACAGGTGACTGAAGTATTATAGTGTAATATAAAAATTGGCATATTAATTTACCACGGTAACTTATTCACCACTACTGCCTAGTTGCCACTAGCTACCGTAGTGCCAGCAATTTGACTGGAAGTATAGGAGAAGTTTATTTTTATATAATAAGATTGCACCCGTTTTCTTAATACCTGGTCTAAAGGATTGTGTTACCGGCAACAATTTTTTCATGATTCTTTTCTTTTCTTTCCAAAGTAATGCACGAAAGAAATGAGTAGATTTATTACATAGATAATATTTTTTTACGTGGGTCATTTATTTCAAAATGTACATAAATAATAATTAGCATAGGACTCCCACCTCATACACTAACTAATAACAGGCACAGCCCATTCATCAGCGATTGTGAGGTCCCACATTCTTATATCAATTAAAAGCAAGTTAACGTCCAATCGATCGCTAGTTACTTAATTGGTCTTAGATAAGTTAAATGTTCCTGCATTAATCTTTGCTACTGTATCAAAATATGTTAGTTTTAGTCTGTGAAACTGTCTAAATGTCACAGCTTATTGTCAAAAATCAAAATTCAAGGAAAATATTTACGCGGGCAAATTATTGTGTATGATTTTATTGTAAATATTTTCATAAATATTAACGTTAAAATGTTTTATAAGAAAAAGTATTATGTGCTATAAGACATTTAAATAAGAACTTTATTACTACCATCACAATTACACTCTATAAAAAAAGTTAGACCACTTGTAGAATATATGTATTGATTTTTCCTCATTTTCCTATAACGAAGTGTTTTTTTTCCATTTATTAAAAAAAATTCGATAGAAAAAAAATACTATAGTATCCTTTTTTTTATATTATCCTTTGTAAATTAACTATTATATTTCTGTTTGTTGGTGATATTCTAATGGCTAAACAAATAGCTGAAGTTCAAATTCATGCTTCGGAGAATGAAGACAGCTTGGAAGATGACAATCTTGATGTCAGCGTAGATCTAATTGACGATAACCTATATTTAGGTAAGGAATATTGTATGTAAAACATTGCATAAATTTTTTGGTAGAAATTACACATACATTTATCTTAGGTGCTCGGTAATCCGGCGGTTTTTTTAGACTACAGACTGCCGTATTCCAGAGCAGGTGAGGATAAACAGCAGGGTAATAATGATACTCAACTAAGCTATGTAAAATAAGTGTATTTCTCATACATAATTTACTTAATTTATGCTTTGTTTTCCACAATTCCACAAATCCATTAATCCAATCCCAGATTACTGCCTACCTACTTAATAATTAAATATGTATATATTGTTTTAAAATAAATAATCATAATCATAATTTGTATTTTTTAACATTTGGCTCCGAGATGTTAAGGATTTGATCATATTTCCTAAATGGTTACTCAAGGTTTTTCGATTTTCAGGTAATCTGGCATGTGCTCGTGATGAAAAGTATTTGCAAAAATTGCAGATAACCCATATTCTGACTATAGATCTTGTCCCATTGCCAAGGACAATATTGGATCGTACCAAGCTAACTTTTAAGTTTGTTAAATGTAAGTGTCACGAAATTAATTTTATATCTAATAATAAACAAAACAACCTGTATTCAAAGAATTATAAAATTAAGGGCTGTACTATCTATTGATTTAAATTCTTAAAAATAATGATAACCTGGCTCACTTAGGAATAACCCTAAGTGAGCCCACATCCACACCACTCACCCATAAGGGTTATATTACCAGTTCAGTAATCAAGAGGTCTTTTTTTATGTAAGAAATTGGCAAACGAGCTGACAGTTCACCTGGAACTAAGTGATAATCATTGTCCATTGACATTTGCAAAATCTGTAGGGTTGAAAATGCATTGCCACCTTTAACAGAGTGGGCCCAGCTAACACACTCACTAGACAAAATGCAGAATTATAACACTTCAACTTCACTCCGGTCTTCTATGAGGTTACGGTATTTACCAGGACGAATCTGCACATTCGCGCAACAGCGAAAACTGTTGCGTGGCCCTACCACAGTTTAAGTGCTCTACCACAAAAAAGTAACAGTAAATAATTTCTCATATTTGTGCCTATTGGATGCCCATTTTTAGCTTAATTTTTTGTGTCCATATGACTTAGAGAGATAAATATTAAGTGAATATGTGTTAAGGAATTGTTTATACATACAATATTAGTAGTAAACATGTGGATATGAGATATATATCAATTATTATGAATTATTATAAATGACAGCTTCGTAATGGAAATGTTTTATAGTGTTATTGCAATATTTCTTTCAGTGGCAGATGTACCAAAAGAGGATCTTATCACCCAACTACCAGACACTAATGAATTTATAAAAGAAGCCATAGGAAATGGAGGCACTGTATTGGTTCATTGGTAATAAATCTTTTTGGATAAATACAATATATAACAAGTTTATCTAAAGTAATTGAATTGTGCTCAACTGCTAATATAAGTAGTCATATAAAGATACAGATTTTCTCTATTTATTTGTTGGTTGAGTAGTAAAGTTCACCTAATGGTATTAAATCTGCTATTGTTTGCTATTGGGCAAAAAGTTTTTAAATAAAACCTTCATTTGAAAGCTATCCATATAGATAAAATTTCTAAGGCGCGCTTAAACTTAGCGTGACTTACATTTAACTAATTATTAATTTACATTTTAAATGCTATTCCAGCTATTTTGGGGTATCTAGGTCAGCAGCAGTTGTCATTGCATACATAATGGAGAAGTATGGATTGTGTTATGAAGACGCGTTCAGCCTAGTAAAGAGCAAGCGGCGTTTCATTGGGCCCAACGTAGGCTTTGTGGCCCAGTTGAAATTGTTCGGACACATGGGATACTGTTTGAACAGAGATGACCCCAGATTCAAACAATTTCGGTTGAAAATGGCCGGACAGAAGCTGAAGCAAGGTAACATAGCTAACTTTATCTTCTATAAAAAGACACTGATATGGTTAAACATAAAAAGAAATGTTTTGTATAAAAAAATTAAATGATATGAAATTAACGACAAGATGACTAGTTAGCGCAGTTAATAAGCTTTTGGCTTGAGAGCTGCGAATCGTGGGTTCGAATCTCACACGGGGCAAGTATTTACACAGATAATTGTTAATTGGATTCATGGATCATTCCGGAGCAGAGTCCGTACATCTACCCAGGTGAATTATGTGCTGTATTTTGTATACATTACCATACATTGGTGTATGCCTCCTCTAAAAGATACAAAAGACTATGTGGTTGTTACTATTGTAATACATTAGTTATCTTGCCTTTTCAGTGAAAATCATCCCGCAGCTGTTTGCTGATCTAATAAAACCGGACCCCGGTCTTGTCAGAGAACGTCCCGACCCCATAGTGTACCGATGCAAGAAGTGCCGTCGCATCGTCGCCAGCCAGAGCAACATAATACCTCACCTGCCGAAGCAGGTCAAAGTGGAGCTGGCCAAGAAAGGGATACGGCCGCCTCCCAGCAAGCTCACTGGGCTGAACTGCGCAGAGAACGGCCAGCTGCTGATAGAGAAGCTGAAGAGCCTCGCCTGCCAGATCATGGACCAGAACGGCAAAGAGTGCGAGGCGTCCAGCGACTCTAACGGCTCTGGACAAATAGAGGTCCAGGAGAGCGACGAAGGTACCAGCCAGGTAAGAAACAGATTTTATGACACACTTTTATTATTGATCGTTCGTTTTATTGTTGATCTTGAAACGTCCACGAGTAACATGTTTAAATGAAAGTTTAACGTCGCGAATTTCTAATCGTGTTAAATCTTTTTATAAATCATGTTAAATGTTTTTTTTCTGGTTGAATATTTTTTATAAAACTTTTGTTAATTGCTCAATATCCATACCTTACAGTGATGTCATTAAAAAGTACTTATTTGAAACTTCACATTTTACCTCCTTGACCATTATTTTTAAGATCTTTGAGCACCTGTTATCTATACTATTAGGTGCTCTAAACTTATCCCTTCTTCTGGGACATCCTTCTATGATTTAAAATTACATGTAATTCAAAAGAAACATTATTAAAATATTCACAAGTAAAAAGTGGCCATTACTCTTGCCCTACGTTTGCACCAATGTCAAATTTGTACTTATTTATTGAAGTAAAACTTCTTTACGCATGCTTGACTTGGGCAGTAAGCTGGTAAATGCGTGCTCATTTCATATCATGCCTCTGTTTATATGGGCAGGCCGGTTCAACTAATCGTAGATACTTACATCACTATTTCTTGATATCTATCTTAAAACTATTTAGGCTTTAATTTAATTGCAGGTGCTTGATGGGTACACTGAGGGCAATATGGTGGACGCGAGCATAGTCGCGCGCGTGGACGAGCAGTGCTGCCGCCTCGTGTGGTTCGTGGAGCCCATGTCCTGGATGAAGGGGGTCACCAACGAGCCCCATGGGAAGCTCCACTGCCCCAAGTGTCAGAACAAGATCGGTAGCTTCAGCTGGATTATGGGTGAGTCGGTTCACTTGTTCATATGGTTTGTTTTCATAAACCCTACTTTAGTCGCGTGTAAAAATCTAAGCCATAACATTAAACACCTAAATTTCGTCGTGACGTCTACAGATGCTTCTCAACAAATTGACCTTAGCTTTATAGGCTAACATTATTTCCTTTTGTCAGGTTGTAAGTGCCCCTGTGGACAGAAAGTAGCACCGGCATTCTACTTGGTGCCTTCAAAAGTGGAGTGGTCCAACATTGTGCAGAATGTACAAATCACAGTATGAAATTGTAAACAAGTTCATGTTACTTGTACGTACATACTATTTGAGTTTTATATGCAGCAGTTAATAAAAACAAACCAAATTGTATTGATGCGATGCACATTTATTGTATTCTATAACAGAAATAATTCTTGCTGTTTTAATTTACTAAAGCATCATTACAAATTTAATAAGTTAAATGTATTAAACATTCTTTTTCATGAACTCGCTACTTTTATATATTCACTGCCACTGTTGTTGTCACTTTAAATTGATGCTTTGTTCATTGCAGTACTAATTAGTTGTGATTGCGTTTTTTTTCTAAGTATTTCATCATTCCAAGTTGTATAATTACAAATCTTTATAATCATATGCTATGTATCACTATTTTAACAGTTTTTGTAAAAGTTCTTATATATATATTTTTATTTTACTTGACTAATATGAGACAGTTTTTGTAACTAGGTCATAAAAAGTGTCTTTCTAGTCAACTGTTTCCTTATCTGCAGTAATAATGCTTTATTTATTTAATATTATTTACATAGGGAGGTAAAAGGTTTCAATTGTTGCTTAGCCATAAAAAAAATATATTCACAACCAACCAAACAATTTTTTTCTATCCAATTATTACAATTAGATAAGATTACTAAAACTCTTCAATTATTTGTTACATTTATTATTAAAGGAACCCTGGTGGTTCCATATTACATTAATGTCTTTATGTTTAGAATAGATGCAAATATTTTAATGTTGAACTGTTACAGTTCTAAAATCTATGTTGTTTCTGGACTGTTATAACCATGTTTGAATTAAACAATAAAATATGTTGTAGCCATATTTGATTGTTTTTTTATTTATGTTCACAACATAAATTTAACTATTAGTAGGCCTCAGTGTTTTACTTATATCACACATTGGATAGTAGTAACAGCCTATACATCTCCCACTGCTGGGCAAAGGCCTCCTCTATACAGAGGGTTTCAGGGCATAGTCCATAGTAGGTTTCCTCACGATGTTTTCCTTCAACGCGGAGCACGTGATAAGTCAGCACTTAAAGTAAAAAACTTCATTGGTGCCGGCACCGGGGATCGAACTCAGGTTGCTTAAGTATATTGAGTTAAAGGCGAGCGCCCGGACACTGAGCTATCACGGCTCTACATTGAATAGTACTATCATCATTTGAATTTGAAATAAATAAATGAAAATTATAGGATAGCAGATGTTGCCTTCTTTTAATAAAGTAGGCCTCAGTTACCATACTCAGCTGACGAAATGCAGAAGTATAACGATTGATGGTCCACTTGAGGTTGTGGTAGTGAAGAATAATGCATGGCCCTACTATGTTTTAATAAATATCTTCAATTATTAACTTCCTATAAACTAGTTAAATAAAGATTTTTTTATACATTAATAAATAATAAACAAATTCTTGTCTTAGAAAATAATGAAATTCCTTAGATTTTTTTAAATTATACTATTCTATGACTACAAAATAAATAATTTAAATGCAGTTTGATAAACAATTAATATCACTTGCTGTAAAGATCACTAGCTTTGGTAGATTTTTTTTTTCTTATTGACATATTAGATACAACCTGAGTCTGTGCAGACATTCAAAAATAAGTTTGAAAAACTATCAAGCACTGTTATCTCTTTTCGATATCGAGTTGAAAGCACCCTCTCCACAAGCCGCCGCCTCACCGCCGGCGTACCACAAGGCTCCTGCCTCTCACCTTTGCTGTTTACGCTCTACACGAGCGATACCTAAAGACCCCCACGTCAATCTCGCGCTTTTCGCGGATGATACGGCGCTCTTTTATTCAGACCGCAACTTTAGACAACTAACCACTCGACTCCAAAGCGCTGCCGACCGCCTCGGCGATTGGTTCCGCGAATGGAGAATAGAAATAAATCCCGAAAAGAGTGTGGCGATTCACTTCACACGAAGTACTTACCCGTCACATCTTTATAATGGCCCTCGTCAATGCAGAAAGTTGGGGCAAATATCCCTTTATGGCCAACCGCTCCCCTGGGAGAAAAAGGTCAAATACTTAGGAGTCACTTTCGACTCGCGTATGTCATTTACTACGCACATTAATAACGTTCGCAATAGAGCCGCGTTCGTCTCCGGCCGGCTACACAACTTAACTAACGCTAAAAGTAAAATGCCCTCAAGGCACAAATTATTATTATATAAGACCTGCGTACGACCTATTATGTCCTACGCATGCATGATCTTCGCCCACACGCACCCTACTCGCTTGTACAAGCTGCAAATAGTACAAAATAAGTTCATCCGCCGTGCAACCGTTGCGCAGTGGTATCAACGCAACGTCGATCTGCACAGCGATTGCAGACTCCCGACGATTCGCGAATATTTTAAAGACCTGACCAAACGGTTCTTCGATAGAGCCGAACATCATCCCAACCCTCTGGTGGTAAGCGCAGCAAATTACCAACCCGACCAAAACGCGAACGTCAACAAGCGTCGCCCGCGAAACGTCCTAATCGACCCGGTCGAGGAAGGGGACTTAGACACGCCGGACCCACTGCCGGGGTTCCCGCCGGACAACACTACACCCACAGTTAGTGCAACAACAAACACACTAGTTCGCCCTCGCCTCCGAGCACGGCGAGACCAACACAACGCGTACACAAGGTACACCCGCGTTCCGGGGCGGTTCTCACCGCCCGCAGCCACCGTTTAGCTAAAAACACAGTCGACGGCCATCGGGGTCTCGGTCCGCACCGCAACTTCGATGGCCCTTAGATGACATGTCATAGTTAAACGCACGCATGAGCACATGCGCGGCCCTACCCACAGCGGAGGGCCCAAACCCGTGGGTTCTGGCTAGCCCACCGGTTCTGCGTCAGATGAAGCTTTAATTTTAGTCTCGGGACTGAAATCAAAAACATCAGTTAATACAAGATACAAGGCACTGTTATAAATCAATTCAGGCCTTGTGAGCAGCTATATACCAATTCTAGGCAAAATAACATCACAATATTATCTAAATATATTTAAGGACAACTTTATCTACAAACTCAACAGAATGATCTGATTTAAGGACTAGAACTACAATTTTCTTTGCTTGCATCCTTTTGGCAACTCAAATGACATTTGAAAAGCCATTTGACAGCTGATTAGTTAACATCTACGACAATCAGTGTTCCAGAAACCCTGCGTTAGTGTCGCTGGTATATGTGATTGAGACGGGCAGTATGGAGTTTAAGTGGGTACCCGTTTTGACCAGGACTCTCACATCCTGGAGACCTCTGGAGACTCCCATACCCTCCCCCCAGGCAAACAAGCTTCAATGACGGGTTTTTTTTTTTGAGAAACGGCGTAACTAGGACCTAAAGATATTTCTTCACCTTCGAAATCCTGGTGACAGGCGACAGGTGACAGGATTCAGGGTGGTGCCGGCAGCAGCGGCAGCCCGTCGCGTCGCAGGCGCGGTATGTCGTGCAGCGCGAGGTTGTGGGCGCGCATCAGGTGGGTCTTCCTCTTCCAGCTGTCGGCGAAGGCGCGAGGGCAGCTGGAGCAGCGGTACGGCAACTCGCCGGTGTGCGTGCGCTGGTGGCGGGCCTGCCTCATACAGGGACAAAGGGTAAACGACTCTACTGCTCAGCGGTCCAATCGTAGATGGGGCACTCGTGAACGGTATACGGTTGGACAGGCCCCGAGAATTTGGGTAGCCAACACCATTCAAGAAACGAGGTCTGTAATAATCACTTACCATCTCTCATTTGTACTCATAAAGTGGTAAAGTATGGGTAATCATAATCAAAAAATGTTTTGTTACTAATTTTAATATTTCAAATAATTATCAAATTGTCCAAATTTTACAGCCCCGTGTGAAAGCAATTGCATTACCTCACCATACCTAAACAAGATGCAATCTAAAATAGATCCTTTACTTTTATTATCTTGATTTCACACGATGTGCATGGTGCTTCCCCGGACGAACCTGCCCAATCGTGCCACAGGAACTGCTGTGACTCGATCACAGTAGGCTACAAAATTTGTGTCTAGAGGTGCACTCGATGGAAAGCTATGCTACCAATGAGCATGTCCATCTGGAGAATTACCACGAACTCACACAAGACCGGCGTGAAGTGGAAGTTTTAAAAGGTAGCAACGCATGTTCAACCCTACGGATTAACGTCGGGTTCACACCAGCTCGTAGGGCGTCTCCTTACGTAAGCAGCGGGGGGGTAACATGGGATCGGGCTCACCAGCGCGCTGCGGTCGTGGCAGCGCTGCGAGCAGTGCGCGCAGAGCAGCGGCGGGGGCTCGGGGCCGTGGCGGCGCGCGTGCCTGCGCAGGGCGGCCGCGGCGGCGGCGCGGTAGCCGCAGTCGGGGCACGCGTGCGGCCGCAGGCCCGTGTGCCGGCGCAGGTGCACCGACAGGTTGCCCGCTGGAGGAGAGGACCTCAACGTCACGAGCGTGGCGGCAGTGTACGGCTCGGGCGGCTGCGCTTATCACCAGATGGGTACGAGTAGCTCCGGGGTCGGGCAGGCACGCGGGGGGATCCAAGGTCGGCCGCGGGCACCTAACAGTTGACACCTGCGTACGGGTCGCTCCAGGGTCAGGCCCGTGCACAGGGAGATTCCAAGGTGGCTTCAAAGTCAGGTAGTTGTCCAAGGAGATTTCAAGGCCAGCCAATTGGTCAGCGAGGTCGCGTGTACCTAACAGTTGACACCTGCGTACGGGTCGCTCCAGGGTCAGGCGTGTGCACAAGGAGATTCCAAGGCTTCAAGGTAAGGTACATGGAGATAACAACGTCCTCCGCGCGCACCGTACGAATGACTCTGAATCAGGCACGTGACAGAGGTCTCATGTTGCACACACGTGACTCCAAGCCGGAAGTGCGTTCAATGTAGTGACGCGTCATGGTGACACCAAGGCCAAGCTCCCGCCGTGGGCCCCGGTCCCGCCTTGTCGTTACATAGGGGCTTAGTATCCGTGGATTGGTCATGGTGAAGCCGTGAGGAACCTACACTAATCCAGCCTGTGGAGCACAATGTGTCAAGCACAATGCATGCTGAGAAGGTGCGGGGAGGGGGTCATTATCTTACCTTGAGCAAAAGCCCATCCACAGTAGCTGCATAAATACTGTTTGCGGCCATCATGGACTTTCATGTGACATTTTAATATGCTTTTCAACTTGAACCTGAAAAAGGTATGTAGAAAATAGAACAAAATTCATCAAAATATTGAATAATATTCAATAATATCATCCATGATGTCCCTAAATTTCAAGTATAAATATTAGTAAAAAATTATCTGTATCTGTTATGAAAAAATATTAAAGCTATTAAATAAATCATTGTATTATCGTACTGCTATGTCATGAATAATTACTATAATATTAACTTAAAATAAAATATGATGCTCTTTAAACTTACACTTTAATTACATACACATCAATTGATTATTTATTCATTATACATGAGTACAATTCTTTGCTTCAATAAAATTTTGAGTTGATGCAGTGTTTTAGCATTAATATGATAGATCATAGTTAATAATTTTATAAGTTTATAAAGCCTTAGCTTTAAAAAGAACTGTAGTACCTCTTTTGACATTTATCACAGGCATAAGGTCGTTCCTCCGAATGCGAACGGGTATGAACATTCAGCTGCTTTCTTCTTTTGAAGCGCTTTGAGCACAAATTGCAAGCAAACTTACGCTCGTCTGAGTGAGTAGTTGCATGGTACGCCAGCTGAGAGGATTTACTGAAAGCTGCAAGAAGTGTTCTATTTATATTTAAATCAGTTTTATTAATATAGAAAATGTGAATGAGTTTATTGGCCGCGCAAAACTTAAAAACGCCAGACTGGAGTTGCTTCCACAAGCTATGTAGACACCGTTCAGTGCAGAAATCAGATAATATATAGATATCCATGATGTCAATGATGGTAATCATTAACTTAAAATCAAGTGCTCCGGCCTACTCGCTGGCCAACTTTTCAAATAAATAAAATTATAAACTAGAATGTTCCCCTTTTTAATAATTTCTGGTATGAGTAATTAAAATTACAAAAGACTAATTTAAATTGCAAAAGACCTATTTTGTTTCTGACAATTTGAACCATAATTTTGAGTAAGTACCCAAAACTAAAGTCTAAAGAAGTTTCCACTGAAAAAAAAAATCATTTAGACTTAAATTCCTGACATTTAGAATACTTTACAGCATCCATAGTTTTGGATGGATTTTCTTACAGCTTTATTTTATCCGAGTGTTCAAATAATTATTTTTAAGAATGTGAAATAACTTATAATACTAATAAATAACTTAATTTTTGAAAATAAATACTGAACTTCATGCGACATTACATAGTTTTGTAACTATAGAACATCACATGTTATATAATTACAAAACTCAGATCTCAGAATACTCAATTCTGTATAGGATTTTCTCTTATACATTTATTCTCTATGAGCCCCAGCAGTAAACTGAAAAGGATATTTTCATTTTTAAATGATTGTATAAAATATACATAAATATATCAAATAGTAACTGATACATCATTACTTTTATCACACTGCATACAGCTGTACTTTTGACCGGAGTGCTCTTTGTCCATGTGTTTAGTAAACCATACTTTTGACATGAAACCCTTCCTGCAAACGGGACAGATGTTTTTCTTGTTGTTATCACAGTTATTTATTTCCCTGGTATTAACACTTTGTACTACTTTGGGCTGTGTAGATTGTTCATTTGGTAAATCAGTAGCATTGTTGTTAGAAACTTTGTTAATTTGAATAGCATGATATTCATTATTATTTTGTAACACAGTTTTCTCCGAGTTCCCGATGCTGCTGCAAAGTTTATAGTCCGGCAGAGTAAGCTTCAAATGAGATTTTGGTTCTAAAGTTGGCACTGTTAGTCTCAGACAGTTCTCCAAACCAACAATTATGCTAGTTTCCGTTCTTGAAACAATATTTTTAAGAGTTACATTAACATTCTGTGCCTCCTTAATGAATGTGTAGGATGATTCTATTTTTATTATGCAGTCATAGCAAAACTGTTTAGGCAGTTTATCCGCTTCCATTATCTGTAATTGTTCAAGTTTATTAGAATAAGTAAATGTCTTCAAGCAATATGAACTAAAATAAAAATTGCCGATTACTTTTAAGGAATAAAGTTGAGCAAAATTGGCTTTTCAAGAATAGTAAAAACTCTTTTGGAATTGTTAATTAATACTAATACAAAGTTATAGTTTTTCACAATAACTGACAAATCCTTTTTCGCAATGTATGTATTCGCAAGGTACGATTGTACGCGTGTACGCTTTAGTTTAGATTTACTAAAAATTATTCCTTAAAATAATTGTTAAAAAATTTGTGATTTATGTGAGACTTTCTTGCAGCAGATATTATATAAAACTTAAGTAGACTTTTATGACACAAATACCCTAATAGCTAATCTGACTTACCTCGATATTTGTGCAAAAACAAAACATTTCCACAGCTCGCGGATCGAAATTTTCTTTTTCCCAAGATGCAACTTCCTTCATGCAGCTTCGACATAACTTTGTTATATCCATATTCCTTGTACATTACAATTGAATTGTTCATTTATTAATAAGAGCGTTAGTTATTTATTAATTATGAGCATTTAATAATTCGAATTTTCGAATTATGTTTGTGATTGTAAATATTTTTTTTTGTTTTTCTTTTTTATGTCAATCACAAGATCTTAATCATAGGGCCAAGTGTAAAAAAGAAAATAATGTTTGTAATACTATATAAAAAGGGGGCAAAAAGAAAACGTTCCATGCATGTTTACTAACTAAATATTATATTTTACATCCCGAAACAAAATTATATTCATGTAATTCCTTTGGATTATGTTTCAAGGAAATTAAACGACTCTGAATAATTTAATTTTACCAACATAATATTTGCTAGAATTTTAGTTAATCAATGATGATGACTGCTATTAATATTGTCTTAAGTAATAAATACTTCGGATTACTTAAGCAGATAGTGGGCTTAAGCATACTCACTCTTTGAGAGAAGGAATCGACTATTGTTTTTTAAACGCTTTTATGTTGGTAAACGCTATGAAAACATGTTATTGCAGTAAAAATAATGTATGTCCACTAATTTCTTTATAACATTATAAAATGACTCAAAGCACCGTGGAAACGTGCTCGCCAGCGAACGCGTTTCGCAGCCTACACTATTCGCGTGCGCCAGATGGCTTTTGAATTGCTTACGTCTTGTTGATATTGTTTTTTGATAGTGAGCCAGCGTTCAATCAATGGCTAGTTACGTAATTAAATACGTAAATTTTTATTTTTATAAACTAATTGTTTTATAAAATAATTTAGTAAATATTCTATTTACGTAAATGGATCTTAGAGCATTTTGTCTCACGATTAAATCGCTATTTCATTGGATTACACTCCTAGAGAGTATACCACTATCCATTACAGTCCAAGCCGAGGGTCGAACCTCCATCTAAGGCCGCCTTCTTCTGACAAACCCAAAGCTGCTAACATAACAGCGTTTCATAAAAGAAGGGAAAATCTTCTTATCAAGCGAGATGTGGTAAAATAATATGACAGTGCATTTGTTAAGCAGTTGGCCTAGGTGCCGGGGGTTATTTTTGGGTTGTACCTGTGCCGTTTGGCGGGGAGGGAGCCAAGTTTGCCACCACTGCGATATATGTGCCGAGGAGACGGACTAACACGACCTGGAGGAGTGCCCAGCCTGGCGGGAGCAGCGCCGAGATCAGAGGGCTATCATGAGGCACAAGCTCTCGCTACCTGCCATGGTCTGCGCTACGGTGGACAGCAAGAGGTCGTGCGTTGCCGTCCTTGCATTCTACGAGGACATAATCACCCGGAAGGAGGCCGCGGAAAGAAAAAAAGGGAGGCAACTGACACCCTGGAAGCCCGCCGCCGGAAACCAGGGCGCAAGAGGCTGGCCTACGCGCACAACCTTCTCCCCTGATGTTGCTATCAGGGTCATAAGGCAGTAGTCCCACATCAGCCGATTTTGGACTAACTGCTGCCCCGCGGAGAGCTTGGGAGGGGTTCCGTGTTCATTGCACCGACACGGCACCATTTGCGTGAACCAGGTGTCCAAACACCCGCAGAGAGGAGGCCTGAGAAGGCCAGTCGCGTCGGGGTTCGCGGAAGATTGCGTTTTCGTGTTCCCGTATCATCGGCAAAAGCGACAGCACAGCAACGTGGGTTTTTCAGTGGGTATTCTCGTAATTCTGTGGGAGTTACCCCCGCTGCCTACCGACAAGGCGGCCGGGAAGCCATAAAGGATTTTTAGCACGTAGAAAAAAAAGTGAGGGGGTTATGAATTCGATTCAAACACCGGACTATTTGAGTGAAATTACAAACAATGCCATTGATGACCCGATTGTCTAAGTGAATAGTGAACCCGTCTCTACTCTCTTGCGCCAGAGATTATAGATTCCATCCCCACTACCGGAAAAAAGTTGCGTGATGGATATATGGTGTTTTTCTAGTGTCTGGGTATTTATATATTTATCTATAATTAGTATTTATGTACAAAAAAGTATGTTTAAGTATTTTTATCAGTTACCTAGTACCCATAGTACAAGCTTTGCTTTCAGAATAGATGATTACAGGACAGATGAAAGCGTTTTACTTCCTACTACAGCCTACTTATTTTTTTTTTTTATTTTTTTTTCGGATTTACGCAAAATGAGCTAGATGTCTTGCGTTATTGACGTGCTTGGATTTTATTTTATCTATTATGAAGACACAACCATCTATTATACATTTTATTATGAATTATTATTACCACTATTTAGTTCAGGTTTTCTATGTCGTTACTTCGTTACTTAAAAAACTCAATTTCATATGAAATAAAAAAAAACATTTTTAATAAATAATCCTTTTTCACATAGCGTCATCTCTTAAATATTAGATACACTTGACACAATGAAATTAAATGTTAGCATATTTGTACCTAAAAACATTGTAAGATGGCGCTAAATGACACCTTAAAACGGTAGGTGTTATTCAAATAACATAGGATTTTTTTTATTGTAAGTTGTTGTCAATTTTTAATTACATATATTTCAGCAAATATCGTTTTGCTAAACTATTTAAAAAAATAAGGGAATTACATAAAACAAGAGAACATAGTTTCTTTCCGTGGTTAATTTTGAAAAGAGACGAAATAAATTCATGCGCTGCTGCCTTGATGTTGATTTTGGAACTCCAGTTAATCTATGTAGCGTCTGCTTTCCTTGCATCTCCAAGGAAAGCGCGTAGGGCATCCAACCCCATGCCTGTTAGTGGTGCGGCTTCCAGGAGAGCTGGTGCGTTGTGCAGTTCGCTTCGGAGCCTCTGGTGTTGCAGCATTAGCAGAGCTTCGTTGCGCATCTGACGGTAAGAGGCGTCCATCTTGCTCAACACTAATAAGAACTGTGGAGAGATTGGTACGAGCTAAAATAGCTTTGTAATATACTGTAGGGTGTTTTTGTCGTAACGTTTATGTGTATATCTGTTAAACGGCACCTTTTTACGATTTGTTTATTCCTTTTTTTCTTCAACTGGTCTACATTTAAAACGATTTAGTTTTTTTTACGGTTTATTGTTATAATAAATCTATTTAATAGTAAATCTGTTAACAGATGGCGTGGCAGGAGGTTGAAGTAAAAAAGGGACAATATTTAGTCCTGACTCCTGCCCTATTTAGTGTTTACTGAGTACAGCGGCCGCAATACTATAATTTCTTTACTCAATACTATAACGTATTCATCAATTATTTATAAAGTTAAATTTATAAAATATCATATTTTATATTTATTAATCATACTTTTTTATATAAGATAAATTTTTATATATGAATAAATATTAAAATTCTTCGATTTTCTACAAATTATTCATTGATACGCACACTTAGCTATAGTTTTTAGGTGTTTTTTTTTTAATCGAAACTGACCAGTGTCAGGTGGCCAGATGGAATTTATTAAAGAAAGAATTTTACGTCTATCTACCTTCGACCTTCGAAGCCTCGGCTCTGCTAAGAGTGTATACAACATGACCGCGGCGGCCGAGATTTGACACAAATTTGACGTGTCAATCACGAATATAACCTGCAACAGATATTCGAAGGATGATTGAAGTGGAAAGGCCTCTAGATTCTGATCTTGCACTAGATCTGCCGAGTTCTTGATGTACCTTCTCAATCCCATCCAAGTAATTACTCCATAGTGTCACCATCTCTCCGCCGATCTCCCTGATTGACACCACTTGCTTCTTGCCTTGTTTGTTCACGTAATTAATATCGTATATATTTGTACCGATTGTCGGCACTGGGCTGTATGTGTAGTCAATGCCTTCAGCCTCTTGCAATTTCTTTAAAAGCGTCGTTTTACCGGAACCCTTGGGACCCACGCAGAGCACCGGTATTTTTTTCTCTATATCGTCCATAACCGCTGGTGAAAGGAGAATGTAAATTGCAAAAATTGTTAAGTCGATAACAATATTTGCTATGGTGATAATTTACTTCGACTACTCGTCGACAGATGGCGCTCGGAGGCAATCCTTGTTAACTAATTATAACGATATTTTACTGATTCTTTTGCATTTTACGGTGCAGTGTCTGTTTGACAAAATAACAATAACATATGTAAGTAAAGTAAGTAAGTAACAGCCTATACTTGTCCCACTGCTGGGCAAAGGCCTCCTCTATACAGAGGGTATCAGTGCATAGTCCACCACGCGGCCCCACTGCGGATTGGCGGACTTCACATATTTTCGAAATATATATTTTTTTTGTTATTATTTCGAAAATATGCAGGTTTCCTTACGATGTTTTCCTTCACCGCGGAGCACGTGATAAGTCAGCACTTAAAGTTAAAAACTTCATTGGTGCCGGCACCGGGGATCGAACTCAGGTTGCTCGAGTAAATTGAATTAAAGGCGAGCGCCCGGACACTGAGCTATCACGGCTCTAACAAATATGAATTTGAAAAATTATTAAATATAAAATAATTAAAAGTTGATTGATTGTAATTGAAAATGATATTTATTATTAATTTTCATAGTGCTATTCTCACTTAAGATGCGCTTTTCTACAAATTTTATTATAGGTAATTGTTTCACACCCTTTTTACCTTTTATAGTATCTTTGTCACACGTATTCATTTTGATTATGATTATATTTAATATCTCCTGTTTAGCATGTATAAAACTGCTATACGTGATGAATAAGTAATTAGTTTTAAACGTGAAATACAGACAATAACAATATGTAAGCTGTTTAAATAAAAATTGCAGTCGCATGTTCTGGTTTTTGCAATTACGCCGCATCATAATTTTTAATTTTTTTACCGTTTCAATTGACATGTTCGCTTATAAATATTCAAGAACTTTCGACGTAGGAAAATACCGAAGAATTTAACAATGTAGCGTTGCAAAGCAATGACGAAGTAATAAAATATTTTTCATTCGGTTGCAAGAATAAATTTTTTCTTCAAGTACCTAATTACACGCGTATATGATTATACAGGGCTACAGTTTTGGTGATATCACGATGTCTTTGTTTTTCTTTTAAATTTTAAAGTTTAATTTTTATTTTAAAATTTTTACAAGTGTATGTTTTTATTTTGTTGCACCCATCTCTGGTGTGTACTGCAAATGACCATTTAGTCCTCGCTATGCGGTTTAATAGATATTCAGAATTAGATATTCAGAACTAAATAAATTACATAATTTTTATCTACTATCATGGTGGTAGGGCCACGCAGCAGCTTCGGCTGTTGCACGAATGGGCAGGCCCGTCCGGGTAAGTACCACGACCTCACAGAAGACCGGCGTAAAGTGGAAGTATAATACTTTCGCGTTTCGTAAGGTTGCCGTAGCCTAGTTTTCAAAAGGTTGTCAATGCATCTCGAACCTTCGGGTGTAGCAGATGTCCATGGGCGGCGGTATTCACTTAACATCAGGTGAACCGTCTGCTCACTTGGCAACTTTTCACATAAAAAAAATATTACCTGTAAATGTTAAAGATCAATGGTAGTGGCTACATTTTAGAAAGTATTTTGTTACGTTTACGTTATACGTTTTCTTAATTAACACATAATTAAAAATTATTAAATAGAAATAAACCTGAAAAAAATTAAGCCCACGGTAGTCACGTGGGATTTAGCGGCCCTATTAGTTCAATAATTAGTACAGAAAATATGCCATAAAAATATTCAAAAACATTTCTTGCAGCTCAATCGTGTGCATTAGCACATCTATTAACATTGAGAACAAATTGTGCTTTAAAAAATTGAAATATTTTCAATCAGTTTTTTTCTTTATGTAATAAGATAGCAAGCGTGCTTGCGCTTCACCTGATGTTAAGTGATACCGCCGACATTTACAACACCCCTAGGGCTACAAACACTTTTTTTTTCTTTTTATGGAGAAAGGGGGCAAACGAGCAGTAGACTCGCCTAATGGTAAGTGATTACCGCCGCCCTCGAACACCTGCAACACCCGAGGGCTTACAAATGAAAATACCCTACTCGCCAAACGGAACAGAAGTATGACACTTCCACTTTACGCCGGTCTTGAAACTTCCCCGGACGGACATCTGCGTTGTGCTCAGAGCAAAATTTCATTATAACCTGTATAGCGTCGGATTTGATTTGTGGATTTTATGCGATCACCTGTGTCCGAAACGTCAACCGACTGCTGGCAACCCTGAGCGCATCCCGCACGTAATGTGGGTGTAGAGTAGAGCGTTCTCTGTACACTTGACGGCGCGGCCGCGGCGGCCGTTCAAAAACTATGCAACCTTAAACTTGGCTTACGTAAAGTGCTGCCGATTCAATGCCGCTGGGCTAGCGATGTGACAATTCCTTTATTTGCAATACACTATCACTAGGCTATCGTTGGTTCTTTAATGAAATTAAAAGATTTGAAAGATATTCATAGTATTTTTTATATTTTTTTTATTCAAAAGCAAATAATTATTTTTTATTATCAAATTGATATTATAACCCGTGTGATTTTTGTGTAAATAAAATTATCGCTGTACAGATATTATGTCATATTTTTTTAGTTGTACTAAAATTGCTTTATATAACCCTAATATTACACACTATACATCCGCTGTTAGAAATTGTGAAGAAAGCTTAATTTAGATTTATTTATTAATGAAGCGTGGTATCAGCAACTATATTAAAAAGTCCCATATCTGCCCATTGAGATATCGCTGTCCCTCTCTACGCGGGAAGGTTAGCAACTGGTAAGCCCGCGAATTTCGGCGCGCGGCGCTGCGCAACTAGGGCGGCCTAGCCTTGACCCACTGACTCACTGCCAGCGAGTGCCCGCCATTGTTTTTCAACAATCAATAAATAATACGCGGGGTGAGAATTCGCGTTCGCGCCTTTGCGCAACGAGCCACGCGCCGCTTTCCCGCGCAATGGACCTCTTCGCGCCATTTCTGAACATGGCGTTTTATTTTGATAAGCCGACGATATAGGCCAGCGTTGGGCGGTCGCAATTGCATCGCCGAAGACCTTCGCGCTCCTCGGTTAAATTAGTGAGTGCCTTATGAATTCCGCAACGGATATATCGAGGTTCCGCCGAAGGCGATGTTGCCGAAAAACATTAGGTAACGCGAGCCCGTATGGTGATGCTCAGTTCTTTTCGGTTAGAATACAGTCAAGGTTATAGTTGGTTGTTGACCTTGTGTGTCGTGCGCTCTCGCTCGCACACCTAGTATCCTGCAAGCGGCGTCGCTATTAGGCTGTAATTATAATTATATAAAAACAATGAAACGAACCATGACCTTACTTTTGTTCGATAAACTTCAACGGATCACACGGTCGATTTGAAAAATTATTGTAGGATGTTAAGAAATTACGGTACTCGTATCACCACAGATTAACAAAAAAATCGAGGAGGTGCTCCTGCCATTAATGGACTTCAGGGCTGCGATTCGGAAGATTAGAACTTCAATTGTATTTCACCATTTATCGTGCGTAACCCCAAACACTAATTAACGAAAGCTTCATAAATTAAGCGGGTATTTGGCAATTCATCATACGCCTTAACTCGTAAATTTACATAATTTTCGATTCGCCTACATATTTAACAAGCACTTGTGTTGTACTGGGTCACGAAAATTATAAATTAAATAAATACGCACACATAGGAGCGTGCGGGCGGGCATTACGTGGCCGCCAAGTGAGGTCGGCACGTGAGAGCGTGTGTCCGAGCGGACCGCGCGATAGATGCAATTATAAAACAAAGTTTCTAAACGATTCGCGAATGCCATTCGGTTTTATGACGAATGCCTCCAATTGCCTTCGAATCGAGGCGTTGCGGACCGGCGTTTGTCAGCGTTTTCCGAACGCTCGGCTACGTATTGGCGGTTTAAAACCGTTCGTTTAGCGATGACAATTTGCATGTTATTGATTAATGTGTTTCATTATATGCTGTTCCATTTATATAACTTATATGAGTGCGTATACTTATCACGTGTTCAGCGGTGAAGGAAAACGTTGTGAGGAAACCTGCATATTTTCGAAATAATAATAAATTAATAAAAAAGAAATTCGAATGTATGCGAAGTCCGCCAATCCGCAGTGGGGCCGCCCGGTGGACTATGCTCTAATCCAAGGATGAGCAAACGCGCGGCCCGTTAAACATGTTAATGCGGCCCGCCAAGCATTTCTAAAATTGAATTTATTTTATCGAATATATATTGTAATGTAATTGTAATCGAAAATATATTGTTATAAAATTAATTATAATAAAATGTAGTATATATTGAACCGAAATATTTTTTGTTCGTTTTTCTGTTCTTTATTGTTTGTTTTTACCTTGCATTAAAATTTGTATATGAAATCTTTACTTTTTTTTTTAATTTTATATTTTATTATTCTAATATTTATTATAAATAAAGTTTCGTAAATTATTATGTGCGGCCCGCCAAAAAATTTTAAATTTAAATTGGTTCATTGATTAAAAAGATTGCTCACCCCTGCTCTAATCGAATCCCGAAGACGTGGTTTCGATTCCCACAGAGACGAAAAACTTCGTACTTTTTTCTAAAAATTTTAATTGTTAGAACTTATCTAATAGGCTCTTCAGGGACTTGTTGGCTTGGATATTTAGGTTAGTACCTGGGATTGCGGATTTAAATCATTGTACAGTACTGAGCTTGCATTCACATTACTTATGTGTAATAATACTGGCTTATGAGCAAGGCCGTCGGCAGCCTTGCAATTTTTTATGTTTATCACTTGATAGGCTCGTCGCTTACCTATCTATAGTTTATTAAACTACAGCTTGTGATTGTAATTTATAGATTATATAAGAGTTATGAGGTATTCTTCCAGAACTACTTTAGCCTGTTGAATTTCTTTCCAGAAAGGATGCACAGCCCAGAAAGATATCAAAGTTTGACTCGGCCTAAATTTTGGAAAATAATTCTTATTGTCGGAAAATAATTCTCTAGCGAAATAGTTAATTATTTATTATTATGTGGTCGACGTGGTAAAAATCGTCGAGAAGAATGGAACGGAGAAATAAAAAGAAAACGGTTTTCAACATACTTCACAATCGCCCGGTTTCTGAAACACTGATCAACGTAGATGTCAACTAATCAGCTGTCAAATGAATTTCAAATTTCATTTTAGTTGCCAAAAGGATGTTTAAACTCTTTGAATTGATCATTCTGATCATAAAGAAGATCATTCTGGTCAATTCAGAGAGTTTAACCATCCTTTTGGTACCTAAATCGTAATTTGAAATCCATTTGACAGCTGATTAGTTGACATCTACGATGATCAGTGTTTCAGAAACCGGGCGTAAGTGTCTTTAAAATTTGCATGGCGTAAACAGCGCCACTGTTCATGATCGTGAGAGAATCTAGCACTAATATGGCTTAACGCTTGACCTGGATTATGGCGCGAAAAGAAAAACTCACGCCGCAGCGTTCCATTGGGCGAAATTTTTTCCGAGATCTCTTTTTGGAACGCTCCTCAATGCTTAACGTCTTTTGTTAGTTTCATTCCAATTTCAAGGGAACGCGCTTTTGAATTTCGCAACATTGTATCCATTGTATCCAACGTTGTATGCATTGGTCTTGACCTTAGTAAGAGTTTTAAACGAATACGATGCGCGTAAGAAGAAATTGTAATTTATGAAACAGGCCATCTCTGCTAATGAATTTCTTTTTATTACACCTAATAATGTCGTCGGTTAACTTGATATTTTGCCACAAAAATTCATTTCTTCCATTGAACTGTTAACTAGTATTTGGGACTATGTTATGCTGTTGCGTGAATGTGCTGGAACGTCCAGGGAAATTCTTGGGCCTCACAGAAGACCAGCGTGAAGTGGGAGTAATAACGCATACTTCTGTGAGGAAATCGGGTCCATTTTTCAAAGTATGGCAACCCCACAGCTGTTGTAGATATCCATTAGTTCTAGTATCACTTAAAATCAGATGAACCGTTAAATCGCTTGCCAAATTCGTACATTTGAGAAATTGGATCGCTGTGTTTCTACGCTCGCTTTAGTACGACTCCTTTCCTTTCACCACATTTTGATTTTTTTTTATGTGAAAATTTCTCAAGCATTCTTAACCTGATCTTAAGTGATTACGTCACCCATGGGCCCCTAGAACACCTGGACGCTTGCAGATGCGTTGACAACCTTCAAAGAAAGTGGTTCCCGGTTACTCGAAGCTGCTGCGAAACAGACAAAACTTACTTTTCCTTCTTTACTTTTCCATTTATTTAATATCAGACTGAGCAACAGCTAAGCTAACAGAACCATCTTAATATTAGAGTACAAACATTAATTTAAGTTTCACGTGTTATGATTGCCACATAATTTAATTTAATGTTGACTAACTGATCGTAGACTGAGTGGGGCCAGTTGTGACGTTGTTAGTGCAGCGCCATCTGTCGGCGTGTCATCGAATGACAGGAGCGTCATCGCAGCCGCGTCACCGCAACCACTGTCGCTTTCTGTCACGCGACGTGAAATGCTTATACGAAGTGAAAGGTGCGCGTATCTACATCATGTCCGACGCGTTTTGTACGCTTTTTATTATTATTAATGAAGCATTTGCCTTTGTTGTTTGGTGTTAACGAGAGACGCGAGAAGAATTACATACTCATTGGAGTATGTTACTTTAAACTACTTATGTATTAGCGTAGGACATTTCCTACCAGTGGCGGATTTACAAATTTGCCACCTATAGGCGGTTCCATTTTTGCCGCCCCTACAGCCCTCTGAAATTCGATACCGTAGTTCGCAATCATATTAATAACATTTATTCTGTCAATAAAATTGCAACTTTTCGATTTGTTCTCTCTATCGTCTTTATCACATCCGTTTTTTCTCGTTATTATCATGATTTTGAACTAGGGTTTCGTTGTGTCAGTTTCTAGATTATTTTTGCAACCCACGATTTAGTGAAGATTACTCGAAAATAATTTTTGGGTACTTTTCTGAATCAAAAATGTGCATAATGATGTTTTTTTTATTTCTGTAAGACAAAAATTTTAGGTCCTTTGCCGCCCTAAGTGCTAGCCTACTTATAAATGCTACAGGTAAATCTGCCACCGATTCCTAATACAATTACCCATGTACTTAACAAGCTAGTAATAGAAGCTAGAAATTATTATTTATTTAATTAATCTCTGTTCCATTTACTTCCAAAGCAAAGCATCATCCACCTGTAGGTATATAAGTAACTTAATTAAAAACTTTTAGTTACAGAAATACACACAAACACTCACGCACGCACGCATGCACGCACGCATAATAATATATACTATATGCATATTATTAACTGTAATAATTCGAGAGGCAAAGAAAGTAGTTGTGTAGTGTATGTGCTACTATACAAAAGTAATAATGATGTTATATAAGACTCATGACTCCGTGGCGCAGTGGCCAAGGATTGGCTTCGGCGTCGGGATTCGTGGATTCGATTCCCACACGGGAGAACTATTTGTGTGATTTTTAATAATAATGAAATGAAATAAGCGCTGCGTTAATTATTTACCTTAAGAAGGAGGTTCAGATCGAATATTATTATTATTCGATATTTTTATTGTTACAAGAGCACCGATTTTTGTTTATCACTTAATATTTATTACCAAAAATACTTTTTGGTTCAAATCAACATACAAATTACGCTACATATTAACATAATCAATGGAGGAATTCAAAATGAATCATTATATTATAACATCCACTCTCAAGCTTAAACACGAGTTGAGATGAAATCTCACCGTCATTTCTAGCGTATGAAGTTAATAATGGCTGAACGCTGATTGACTAATCTGAGTGTGGCCATTAGTTGCGTTATAACTCAAACGTGTGGTAGATCCACGCAGCAGTCTTCGCTGTTGCACGAATGGGTAGGTCCGTCCGGGGAAGTACCACGACCTCACAGAAGATCGGTGTAAAGTAGAAGTGTTACACTTCTGCGTTTCGTCTGGTGAGTGAGGTAGCCGGGGCCCGCTTCATTGAAAGGCGGCAGCGCATTTGTAACCCTACGTGTGTTGTATATACATCAGGTGAACCGCCAGCTCGGTTGCCAACTTCTTACATAAAAAAGACCGTTCCCGTTAGCTAAATATTTCAGCCTCGATTCTCTACCTCATACCATTCGATTCACGACAGGACCCGCGAGCTTTCCCCCGCTTTCCGACGACTGTTCAATGATTTGCTATTATGATTAGAGTCGACGGCGAAGTTTATTGTGCTCACGTAGTCGCAACGAATCGGAGTATTGTTGGTCCGCCATCAAAACGTGCAAGGAAACACCGGAATGGATTTCCCTTAACACAGTAAACATAATAACAACCCAAAGCGAAGAATAAAGTAAGGTAGCGAAGAGTAAAGTTAAGTTGCGAAGAGTAAAGTAAAGTAGCGAAGAATAAAGTAAAGTAGCGATGAGTAAAGTAAAGTAGCGTAGAGTAAAGTAAAGTAATAGCCTGCACAGATCCCACTGCTAGGCAAAGGAATCCTCTGTACTCAGGGTATCAGGGCATATTCCACCGCGTGACCAGTGCGGATTAGCGGACATCACATATATCTTCGAAATATTTTTTTTATTATTCCGAAAGTATGTAGGGTTCCTCACGATGTTTTCCTTCACCGCTGAGCACGTGACGAGTCAGTACTCGTGGCAATAGGTTACCACGTTCGATTTAACACCGTATATAATATGATCTACTGACAGGTGTCCCTTTGGAGCAATAAATCTCCCGCATGGGAAACAACAGAATTCAATGAATTGATTGACGACGCATGTAAGCGCTCGTAATACTAGTCCACATTCTTTGTGTATTTGAACTCCGCGTCTGTGATTTAGCTGCTTTAATGAGGCATACCTATCAAATTGAAGAAGTGATGGGATATTTACACAATAAAAATTATTCAGGCACATCTCTGTCCTTTTTCAATAGAGCTAAAACTCACATGCGATCAAATAACTGACTGTACACTTTACAAAACTATTGCATTAAATACCAAGGTCTCGGAAGCGTAGAAGACAGATACTTAAGCGGTGTTCTAAAAGCTATACGGAGCTTATTTCGTTGAAATGTTGTAGAGAGCAGATTCTATGTACAGAGCGCACAAACTTGAGACGTTTTGTTTTGTGTATGTAAGAATTCCGAACTTGGAAACTCAGTAGTTATACCACTAAGAATTTAAACCCTTGACCTTCAGATCGCAAATTCGACGTAGCAACCACTGCACCATCACTGTCTGCCATTAAGAATTAGTTATACCAACAGTAAAAAGTGATGTAGCCTACATGTGTCCCACAGCTGGGCAAAAGGCCTCTGTACAAAAGATATTAGAGCATAGTCCACCACGCAACCCCACTGCGGACTTTATATACCATCCGATTTCATTTTATATTATTTATTTCGTAAATTTACAGGTTTATTGTGCGCGTGATAAATCAGCGCTTAAAATTAACAATTACATTGGTGCCAATAGTGGGATTTTAACTTGTGTTAATATTATTCTTTCGCTGCCCCAATCTTTACATCAGAGTTGACAGAACGAATCTTTTCGAAAAAGAGTACCGTTACCTGCCAAGGTTGATTCGAGAGGCATACTTCAATAGATGGTTACGTTCTGCCACTGGCTTTGGATCCTGTTATCAATAATATTAAAGTCCAGACCCGAACATAACCATGCTAACATAACGATTAACCTCAACATGCTACCACTGCAAGACTTCTAAAAGTTCTAAAGATACCATTCACTTCGTGGATCCCTGATCAGTGAGACAGTATGAACTAATAAAAGAGAACTTTGTGTCGCATTATTATTCCAAATAGAGAAGTGCATGGCAATGGATGAGTTGCGAAGGCGTTTTGTTTACTTTCCAACTTTTTCGCTTAGCTTAGCAAGTATAGGGAATTGTTTTCACGTTGATTTTCGTTAACTGGCATATTTTTAGCTAGGCCCACGCGTAAAGTGCGTGAGGCGTGGTCAGCGTATGCTAGGTATGTAGGGCGATTGCTCAGCAATTGTCTGTGCCAAACGTTATTAAAATATTACGTATTTTTCTGTTTTACGTCAATTACGCTTTAGAGCGAGATTAATAATGAAATTATTTCTTGTTCGAAATTACGTGAGACGTAAAACTCTTTTACATGCCAATAGGAAACGAACCCGTTGACACAGATAAAACTTGTTATCTCAATTCACCTCGGTAAAGTTTAAGAGAACAAAAGATATCATGCATCTGTTCTCTCACATTATTATATATCAAAATCAAATCAAAATCAAAAATATATTTATTCAAATAGACGCTTGCGCGCTCTTATGAATCGTCGAATTTTAAATCAAAGATTATGTGTATAGGTTCGTAAGGTATCACCGGTTCGGAAAGCAGTTTCTGTTGAGAAGAGACCGGCAAGAAACTCAACAGTTGCTCCTTTTCAAAAATATCAGGGTACAATATTATATACAGGTATAATAGTCTCATTCTAGCCTACGTGAGTATCAACAGTATTAACTCCACACATTGGCGTCGTCGAGATATTCCGAAATGGTATAATATGCTTTAATCATTAGTTGATTTTTAATTTTACATTTAAATTGGTCAAAATATAAAATAAAAATAGACTAAATATAGAAGTTGATTACGTCTATTAATAGGTCTAACGTCATAGGCGCAGTTCCAAAGCAATTGGCTTGGGCGCTGGGGGTCCTGGGTTCGATTTCCACATGGGACAAGTATTTGTGTGACCCACAGATAATTGTACTGGGTCTGGGTGCTGTCCCAAGGATTGGCATTCATTTAAATAATGATTTGCACATGTGCCGACCCCACAAAGGTGAGATGAAGGAAAGAAAGGAAAGAATACTAGACTATCGTTGTCGCATCTGGTTCGTCAGCGATAAAATGAGGCGGGTTCGGAACCCAGTTGTCTGCACTAAATGTTTTCCATTTTTAAATATACTGCGACAGGCTCGCCACCTGTCACGTTGTGTCACTGGATGGTCTGGCTATAAATAAAGTTAACAAACTCGGAGTTCTTTTTAGGGTTCCGTACCCAAAGGGTAAAAGCTTAAAAGGGTAGTAGCTTCGCTTAGTAATAGGGTCCCGCTATTACTAAGCGAAGCTGTCTGTCTGTCACTCTGTCAGTGTGTCTGTCTGTCTGTCTGTTTGTCCGTCCGTCCGTCCGTCCGTCCGTCCGTCCGTCTATATTTAAGTGGGGCTCCCATACGAAAGACATGATTTTTTTTGCCGTTTTCATAGATAATGGTACGGAAACCTTTATGCGCGACTGCAACTCGCACTTAGCCGATTTTTATTGACGATTTCATTGTTGATTAAGAATAATGATGTGATTGTAAACGAGTTTTGTAGTTGTTTTACCAACTTCCAGGATTCAGGGAGTGGATTTTCAGATTCTGCGTTTTCTTTCTCTCATTTTATTAATAAAATTGTCAAAACTTTCTTTGAGATATTATTAAAGCAATAATAAAACGGCTAAACTCACGTTAAACCGGTGTATGTACCGAATAGTTTCGGATCCATCGGATCTTAATTGTGGTGAGTGGGATAAGTTCGCGGTCCCGTTTTATTATTACGTTTTATTTTTATTTACTTGTATCCTTGCTTACCAATATTATAAACGCGAATGTTTGTATGTATGGGTGGATGTTTGTTACTCTTTCACGCAAATACTACTGAATGGATTTTAATGAAACTTTACAATAAGCTTATACATTCACGACCCGATTGGCGTGGGGAGTAGTGAGCCTGCCTCTTGCGCCTGGGGGTGTGGATTCGATCCGCACTACTGGAAAATATTGTGTGATGAACATAGTGTTTTTTCCAGTGTCTGGGTGTTTATATATGTATAATATGTATTTATTTACAAAAGAAAAGTATGTTTAAGTATGTTTATCAGTTTTCCAGTACCCATAGTACAAGCGTTGCTTAGTTTGGGACTAGAGAATGTTGCGTAAAAAATGTGTCCGAAATATTTATTTAAAATAAAAAAAATATTTATTTAAATAAAATCATCAGAATAAGACATAGTCTATAAATCTTTTGTCTCTTTTAAATTCATTCAACCCACTCATATACTTTGTGACCTTTACAAATGAACTTTACGTTACAGTTTTATATGTAAGGGTGTTCTAAAATTCTTTGTTTTGGAAAATTTAATAACTCGTTAAATATTGATGTTTAAAGAATGTAAATGTTTAATACCATTTTTAAAAGTTTTCCTATATATGTGTGTTCATTAATTGTCGCGATGGTAACGACACGCTGTATATATATATATATATATATATATATATATATCTTTCTTTCTGTCTCAATGTTACACCTTCAGCCTATTCTACGCAGACGTAGTCGCGGGCAGCAGCTAGAATGTTATAAAACTGAGATAAACTCTCGTTTTTTGCGGTTCACGTGAATAAACGCGATTTATCGCGAAAACCGTGTTACTGCGGGTTGTGTTAGCTACTTAGCGTTTCGCGACGGTTCCCAATACAAGTTATTGTACAATCGACAGTTTTCTTCGGCCGAGTTTGTTACGATCACGAAACGCCTTGTTAACGGCGATAGATCTGATCTGTATAAACGTGAATCTATCGAAAGTTTACTAAATAGCTTCGTAAAATCATAAACGATGATGGTTATGAAACTATTTGTTGATTGTTATAAGTAAATTGCTATATACGCACAGGCGAAAATAATCTCGGTGCATCGAGCAGATGGGATGTAAATCTTATTCCCTTCACGTACTGCTTCTATGTTTTACGGTCGTTTTCGGTTGTTGCCGCGATACGAGCGGCCACACCGCCACACGGTGCCGCATCTAGCCAGGTGGCCGCCGTGACGCACGGGCAAGCAGCCCGTGTTACGTAACAGGGCATGCGTCCCGTGGCAAAGACGCGCACATTCGGCCATTAGAGGCGGCGGGCGAGCAAAAAACACCCGGCGGCACGCGATATTTTCATTAATCGCCGCGGATTTTTCTAACAGCGCCCTCTCTGCTCGGCACGCGCGTCACGCATAGCGCCGTCCCGCTCGTACCGGCGAGCTATCGAAAGCGCCGGTCGCGTGCAACGCCGGTGAAAGAGTCAGTGACCTGCGCGGGAGCAACGAACGTCTTTGCGGCGCATTGTGCCGAACGCCCTCCCCCTCCCCGCTGCACCCCCGCTGGGCCCCCTCTAGAGTGCAGCAGTTCGCTATAGAGCTGCCCTAACCACCAAGAAGCGGAGGGATGCAACGTCCAAGCCCCACGCTGCAGCTAAAAGGCTCCCTCGCAACACAGAGCGCCGCGGATTTTGGGCTTACCTACGCACAGGGGTATGAGGAAAGTACACCTATCGGATGTTAAAATTAGCAGTTCAACAGTCTGGTCGTACGCGATGTACTTATCAGCGTATATGAACTAAGGTATGTCATAATAATTTACAAGTCTTATCAGTACTCACGCATACAAACACAAGAATAGATAGATTTATATATTTAAATAATATCAAATGATGTGTATTACTGTATAGTACTTTTTTGTCAAGGGACTCAATAATCCATCAAACAGATTTGGTCTTCCCATGTGGTCCCATATTAATTTCATTGGTATTGGATCTTGGGCTCAGGAGATACTCAGGGAACTCCTAAAAATCAATTATAAAATGAATACAGAGCGAGATATTTGATGTCGGTTTTGTTTTTCGTAATAAAAATATGGACTTGTCAATCTTATCGTGTTATTCGCGCATCGCGTTCGGCGAGTCGGGAAAGAGCAGAACGTGTATTGACCCATTCCTCAGCTGGGTCGCTCAGGACAACGCGCTCCCGAATGTGTGTTTTACGACTCTTTCGGTTTTCGCGATCAGACGTGACGGATGTCGACTCGCACGCAATTCGAGCAGACGCTTAACGGCGGTTTATTAAGGAAGTTGTAAAAGCCGAAAAGCCCGGCTGATGTGTTGCATTACCTCCGCAAAGACAACAAAGGCTGTCACCCCATTTCGTTCCCGAGCATAATCTCTAACTGAATTGCTAATATTATAAACATTATTGTATTTCTGAAGACTTCTTTACGCACTCTTGACTTGGGGAGTAAGCTGGTGAACACGGGACGACAGCGTTACGAAAAGTATGATGTTAGGCGAACGGTGATTTCTTGATTATTTCGTAATTTGTTTTCGTTCTTGAAAAATTTAGTAAAGTAATATTTTGTTCAATACATTAAATACTCTACGCTTAAATTGTGAATTCAGATGGAGATACAGATTACATATAGATGGAGCTAAAGAGGTTTTACTTCAGTCATGTCGCACACTGGTTTTTTTAATGGGGAAATTTGGGAAGCGAGCAGGCGATTCGCCTGATGTCAAGTGATTACCGCCTCCCTTGGATCTGCAACACCAGAGTTTGTTGCCTATCTTTACAAAAGAGGGCCCCGGTTACCTCGCTCCCGAGAGTAGTAGAGTAGTAGTAGTAGTAGTAGAAAGTATTGCGCGTCCACATCGTGCTGGTATTCTGTGAGGTCGTGGTACTCCCCTGGACGAGTTTGCCCATTCATGCAACAGCATGCTTGATGGTTTGTCTATCTTAATACCGGCAACGGAAAAACAGATTGTCGTCGTTTCTTGTCCTATTGTCGATGTGTGGGTACAGTACCGGCTTATTTTTATCCCCGAAAATGCGTTTCCGTAGAATAGATGCGGAAGGTATTCGTATGCCTTAATTTATATTTCATTAAAAGTCATCCATAGGAATCCACGCAAGCGGAGCCGCGGGTGAATAAGAATAACAATAAAAATATTCAAGTTTTTTTTGAAAAACTTTAGATCACGCATCGAAGTTTTTTTTTATGTGAAAAGTTGCTAAACGAGCAGACGGTTCACCTGATGTTAAGTGAATAACGCCGCTACACCCGAGGGTTCCAGATGAGTTGACAACCTTTTGAAAATTGGGCTCCGGCTACCTCACTCACCAGATGAAACGCGAAAGTATTTATTATACTTCCACTTTACGTCGGTCTTCTGTGAGGTCGTGGTACTTACCCGGACGGGCCTGCCCATTCGTGCAACAGCCGAGGCTGCTGCGTGGCCCTACCACCGTAAAAAGTTCAAACGCGATACAATTAAAGAACGAAATCAATTGTAAGGCGCCAGTACCTTTTAAAAATTAACCATAGGGTGTGACGAAGAAATTCTACAATTATAATTTCGATATTCATTAATATGATGAATTAACAAAATTGAAACAATCAACTATAATGATCAATGAAATGAATATTACGAAATGCAATTATTATGTTGTGACATAATAATTTCATCTCTATATGATTTCACGTAACCGATGCATTAGACGCACACATAGGGCCGGTGCAATCTCGCGGTTGAACACAGGCGCACGCCTCTAATAGATATCTTAGACCGCGTTCACAGCCGCTACTTGTCTAGGAAGCGAGATAGATTAAAAACAAAAACTGCTTGTCATCGGGCGCGATATCGACAAGTACTTGCCGGTTAGCATTTTAAAAAAAATGTAAATGCCATTGCTAGATACAGATTTGTCACCGATGATACTTCCATCGACAGCGAATTAATATAAAAGTCAGCAATCCTTTTATTTTCTTGCAATACTTGTCATGTGCCGTGCATTTTGTTAGTAATGGAAAAAGAAATATTGAAATTCAATTACAGTTAAGAAAGTAAATGGTAAGTTGTTTACAAGTTTAAAATGTCCCACTCATTATTAATTTACATTAACGAATCAGCGGTAAACAATTTATTTATTTTATCCACCGTAATGATGTTTATCTTAATTGCTTTCCTTTGCAATAATTAGTAATTTATTGCAAAGGAATATTTTTAAAATTTTAAAAATCGAACTACAACTAAAAATCGGACTCGAATCACGAAGGAAAGTGGAATCATAAAAAGGTTTTGAAATTAGTGCGAATCAAATTTGCGATTAAAAGCGCACCAAAATGGCGGAATAGTGAGGCGCGCGAAACGCGCAATCGTGGAGCGACCCTACGAATAGTTCGCCAAGTGAAAGTGAGCGTGGGCCGGTGTGCGTGGCTCGCGTGGCGTTACACGCGCACAGCCGCGGCGCCCGCGCAGCGCGGCCGGCACTGAAAGCGCCAGGCCAGAGCCGCGGAGAAAGGTCCTCGCTGTGCATAAAATGAAAGTAAATTGACAAATTTACACGGAGTCCCGTGCCGCGGGCCGCACTAGCCTCCACCCGCGAATGACAATGGCCCCAAAAGAAAACAGAATAAAAAAGCAAGAAATTCCCGCCTGCAGCGCTCGAATCGCAAGTCTTAGCACATTCCTCCAACGATAGCCCTCTTAATGATTACGGATGAATATTTTAATATGGATTGGATAGTATCTCTGTATATTCGATAATTTAAATTATACTTCACTTAAATAATGTTGAGATATCGCCTATTAATTACATTGTCAATTAAACGACTTGGCATTAGAAGTCGAAAGCGTACGTTATAGGTTTGCCTTACAGACATAATTATGCGTAGATTAAATTCAAAACGTTACTTTTAAGCAATTAATTATAAACTAATTGTTGTATAAAATTAACAGGTCTATAATTTATTATTTTACTGTGAACAATACAGTATAAAAACATATTTATGTTAAACATCACAAGGTTAAAAATATTAATATGACCCTCTTTCTCGACTGGCGTGACTAGTCAAAAATCATGCTGAAGCCAAAAAACAGAGGTTGATAATTAAAACAAAGGCATGTCAAAAAGCGGCGGCAAAACAATAACGCTGCAGAGGCAAAGTTTCCATAAGAAAGTTCGCCGCGCACTGATATATAAAAGTCAACCATAACCATATTCAGTATTGGCTTTTTATTTAAAATTTATTCGGCATTTTGCACAGTTTAATTCCGGATGTTTTTTATATCCTTGTTTTTGCAATTATTGAGAATATATTTGAATTGTATTAAAAATAATTAAAATGATACTCATACAGTAATATAAACAAGTTGCGCGACCATAAGTAAGAATATATTCGCTTTATTTTCAATATTCAAAAACGTTCTTGATAACAACTTTATTGATTTAAAGTCAAATTAGTCAAGTTGAACATTTAAAACACTTTTTGTCTGAGCTTATGACCTTTTTTGGACAATTTAAAGCCAAAGGTAAATTTTATTAAAATATAACCCTATAAAATGTCGGCGTGTAAGAATAACATCTTCAGTGTGGTAGATACACGTTTTGCTGCAATCGTAACGTATACAGAAACGATTTAGCAAACGTGAAGATGGAATTACTACATGATAAAGTTGCAGAATGGATTCTAAGCGATTTATCGTGTACATACGCGAGAGTGGGAACTATTACAATGCAAAATAAAATACAATCGAGGGTATTACGAATTGTTGCGTTTCTGAAGAGAGAAAGCGTTTAAAGCTCTGGTACATACATAGCCAAAGCTTAAAGGACGCCAGGACTTTATTCTTAAGGAACCATTATAACATAAAAAGTTGTTACGGTCGTCATTTAATTTTTATTCTTCATTATTTTTTTTGTGTTAGTCCTCCGCACTTTTGTGTACTAAAGTACTGTGTAGATAAAACTATCGCAAATTTTTTTCGAACCTGTCCCTTCTAGAATCCGCTACCAGATACTCTAGCCACTAAGCTAAGCGTTCGACATTCCCACCGCGCGATATTCTCGAAGTATTATCTACTTTGTTTTTATTGCATTTTTAATGTATTCAATTTATTGCATATTGTCTTGATACATACTCATTCTTCCGTTAGAATGATAAGAATTAAATTAGAAAGGTTCTTCAACTCTTATCATATTTGGTAGAACAAAAATTAAATTAGGGAGAGTATCGCTAATTTAATGCCACATACATTAAATGGTTTAATTTAACAAACTATATGAAAACATTATCTATTTCAATAACGTTTAGTAAGTTTAATTTGAGAAATTAAGAATTAGTTAGCTGCCTTGTTTTTTTTTAGGGTTCCCTTTAGGGTAAAACGTGATCCTATATACGAAAACTCCGCTGTCTGTCTGTCTGTCCGTCTGTTATCAGGCTGTATCTCATGAACTGTTATAGTAGAGAAATAAGTAAAAAACAGAAAAAAAATATTAAAGTGGGACTCCCATACAAGACATGATTTTTTTTCTTTGCTGTTTTTATAAATAATGGCACGGACCCCTTCGTGCGCGAGTCAAACTCGCACTTGGCCGGTTTTCGTTATTTCGATAGAAGAGATTCATTTATGTTTCTTTTCCTGGTGTCTGTAAGGTACACGAGTTTAAAGTTACATAGCTCGAACAACAAATGGAATGTTTTTTGTATGTACACAAATAATGACGCCGGTTAGCAAGATGGGTGAACACAGTAGAGAGACAACTTTACGCGACACTCACGCAACTTGCCCGTCTATTAACAAGTTTCATTAAGGATGGATGGCACAATTAATCAATTTTACGGTGGTAGGGCCACGGCTGTTGCACGAACGGGCAGGCCCGTCCGGGTAAGTACCACGACCTCACAGAAGACCAGCGTAAAGTGGAAGTATGACGAACACTTTCGCGTTTCGTCTGGTGAGTGAGGTAGCCGGAGCCCGATTTTCAAAAGGTTGCCTACGCATCTGTAACCCTTGGGTGTGGCAGATGTCCATGGGCGGCGGTATTCACTTAACATCAGGTGAACCGTCTGCTCGTTTGACAACTTTTAGCATAAAAAAAAATCTATCCCTTATACGGTCGACAGGACAGGTCAATTTCCTTGTAAGGATTATACCAAATCTTGGGATAGCGAAACGTTCGACTTTCAGTTCGTTTATGTTCCTACTTAGCGGTAGTTTAATGAAATGCGAGCTTTGCGCGTCTTTGTGTCTGAGACCGTGCGCCGCTCGCAAAGCAGTGAGCGGTATCTCGCTACGGTGTACTTTCATTCGCCGCACCAGCCTATAAAGCATTGAAATGTCTTACGGCCCACGATAAATCTGATCTGCATCTCGCTAGAACGTGTACATTTGTAACAATTGCTTTTAACTGTTACTCGATGATGTCGACTGGTAAAGTAAAAGTAAGGTAACAGCCTATACATGTCCCACTGCTGGGCAAACGCCTCCTCTATACTGAGGGGGCGTTTGCCCAAATCATATATCAGGGCATAGTCCACCACGCGGCCTCACTGCGGATTAGCTAACTTCACATGTCGTATCGTAACGAAATATTTTTTTGTTATTATTCTATTTTGTTATATTATATTTTGTTGTTATCGAAAGTATGTAGCACGTGATAAGTCAACTCCGATTTACAATTTCTTTGGTGCCGGCACCGGGGATCGAACTCAGGTTGCTCAAGTATATTGAATTAAAAGCGCACTGAGCTATCACGGCCCTTATTCACGATGTGGACTATAATCCATATATAATGATAGTTAAAGGCATATTAGGAAGGATTAGAAGAGTTAAGGAGAGAATAGAGTAGAGTAGTCTAGTATTATTATATCACACGATCTGTCACAACGAAGCACCCACACGCGTTTTGTGTTTGCCTTTTTATGGTAAACATCAACTGCACTGGTGGAAAAGATGAATCCTGTAACAGCATAAAAACCTAGCCCTTGGCCCCAGCTTCGAAGACGTTTAGTAAATGCGCCAAAAAATGCATCTAAGCGTACGACATGTAATTAAAAGCATCTTTACGTAGTACGAGATGTGGCTTATACTGAGTAAATAACTAAGAGTTCTGCGTATTTTTTATTCATTTGTTATTTATGCTCTACATTTGTTTGTTACGATGTTTGATAACAAGCTCTTAAGAGTCAATAAATAAACGCACAGACTAAAATAAAAAATCGCTAGGCTGACGGTAAAATACGACGGTAAACATCCCGTCCGCTAACGTTATAAAACATTCCAAAACACGGCAGTATAAATATAAAAATTACACGCGAAGACCATCGGTAAATAGATTCGATTTAAAACGATCTCCTTATTAAAAGATTAACCGTTATTACATCTTTTTGTAATTGGTGACGCAGTTCTACATGACATTACCGATGATATGATAAAAACATATTCAGTCTAGCATTGAGGACATTTGTGGAAAATATAGCAAATCAAAAAGTCATGTGCATTGAGTTTTCATCCGGTTTTAATGGAAACTAATCTATATAATTAATATGTGAAGCAAAATTTCCCACACTAATAGTACCTATAGATAGAGAAGGTGTGCAGAATACTAATAAATAAATTAAAGTATACCAGTTTTAAAGTGTCTTCCAAAAATATAAAACACAGCATCACTGTTTGTATAATTATTTAAAATGCGAAGGAAGAATTCAGTTTTCATTAAGAAAAAACTTATTATCTGGACCGGTCTCAGTATATAATCGGTCGTTACGGGTACGTAGTGTGTGCGAGTGCAGCCGCGGGCAAAGCTTGTCTTTTCATAATGTGGACATAAGCGGTCTTGTATACGAAACTACGACCGTGTGTTGTTTTCTGAATAGTAAATTTTACTTGTCAGAGTTTGCTACACTAAAAATTGCACTCTGTTTACTACTAACTGTCTGTTTTTATTAAACCTGTAGATAACGAAATGATGTAGATAAAGAAAGGAAACCAAGTAAGGAGGTATCATGAAATAGATCCGATAACAATTTCTTGAAGGATTGTGGCACTATTTTCTATCTTTCGCTTTCTTTACGAAGTTTTGTGTGATATATATTAGCGGCCCGCCACGGCTTCGCACGGGGGCAATGTATTATACATATAAACCTTCCTCTTGAATCACTCTATCTAGTAAAAAAAACCGCATCAAGATCCGTTGCGTAGTTTTATAGATCTAAGCATATATAGACAGACAGAAAGCGGGACGACTTTGTTTTATATTATGTAGTGATATGTGCTAATAAGTATGTTGCTCTCCGTGATGGCGCGAAAAGCGGAGGAACACACACGGAGACCATCACATGCATTTATAATGACAGCGTTTTCCCCGACTCGAACGACTAATAAATACGAGCAATTAAGAAAAAAAGTTAATCCACATTATATCACATTGTGTACGTCGGTGCAGCGATGCATTTCTCCCGCAGCCCCCCCCCCCACCTTCTCCCACTCCCCTCCCCCCCAGAGTTAATGCACTCTCGCTGGGTGTTATGTAAGCCCGTTCACGCACACATCTCTCTTTGCCACGCGTGTGTGCGTCGTAGGCTTTTTGCGGGATCGCCCGAGCTCCGTGCAGCATCTCTTGTAATACATTGATAAAATATAAAACGTCGCATTAGGTATATACCGTTTGCTTTTCTTTCGAATTGCGGCCGTCCGTTCTCCGCCGATAAAATAGAAATATTGTTTGATAAGTAGTCCTTACAACTGGATGAGGAAACGATAAAGACAAAAAACAGTATTGAGAGAGCACCTCCTTTTATGAAGTCGGTTAAAAGTTGGTTCATTCCAACAACGTGGTGAAATTCCTTTGCCAAACGTGAAAGCGGGCGATGAACTTGATTGTCAATTTCTCTCTATTTAGTTTTGTAAAGTTTAGGCAGATTCTTTAATTTCCTTGTTCAAGGAATATCTTCGTTCGGCCTTAATAAGCCATACAATACTCTTATAAGTAATATAATATAGAACAATAAAGGATGGAATTTCTTGAGACTGAATATCATGATTCCTAAATTACATTTTACATTTATTCAAGAATTGTCAAAGAGAAAAGAATTTCTTCGAAGTAGTTTCCTAGTAAGTTTAGATTTTTGGAGCCGGAACGAATTCCATAATCGAAAGACTGTTTTAAATAGTTACGTAAATAGCCGTTAAGACTTTCAACCGCTCAACTTAATGTAAGAGATTGTTAAAATTTTGATCAGGAAATATTAATAGGCGCATCACGAAATTTCTACAATCATTTTTTTCGAACAAGACTTTTTTTATTTATCTGAGAAAGGAGCATGCGGTTCTCATGATGTTCAGTGATAACCGCCGTTCATGGATATGGACAAAAGGCTCTAAAGGTGTTGCCAGCCTTTTAATCATCACTCTATCTCACTCTCACTAGATCTGTAAAGGCCCCTAAGGGCAACAGTGGTTGATCCAGCAAAAAAAATCACTGATCTTCTGTGAGGCCGTGACACATCCCCGAACGAGACTGCCCCTTGGCTGTGGTTCAGAAGATGCTGCATACTATCTCAGTAACTCTGCGCTTCTGGTAGCTTAAAGTGAAAACCTGGCTGCGGTAAGTCGGAGCTGAATAAAGAAACGGTGCTAATAAAAATGATGCAGTAATGGAAAAACTAGCAATGTCACGGCGAGGAAAATGTTTTACGTTGTGCAGACTTCGGCGGACAATACTCAGGAAGGCGGGTGGTGTTTGACGTAATTGTCATGATATATCGTGCTACACAATGCGATACTATCGACGTTGACACACGGGTTATTCTTTATTACGGCATTACTCGTTAAATAGAGTTTGACAATAAAATTACGCACTACACGTACTTTACGAAACATTCTTTTGGCAACTCTAGTGACATTTGATAAGCCATTTGACAGCTAATTAGTTAACCTCTACGATGATCAGTGATTGAGAAACAGCGCGTTAATTATCCGTTTTTTTGATTCAAGATTTTTATCTACATTTTAAATATGCTCAGTAAAAAGTACACGGCATTAGCTGCCTACACCCGTATTAATTTTCGGAGCTCTTCGTTATATGTTGTTCGTGTTCAGCCCCACAGATATATCCGCTACGTCTGGCCACATAGCATGTTAACACCCCGGATGTTCTTTCATAGTAGACCGTCCACGCCAGCCGCTTATGACTTGGGTGTGTTTAGAAATGCAACAATTCCTCGACAATGCACTGTCGTGTGCAGCGTTGCGTGGTTACGTAAACCGCAAGGGCAGATCTGCGGACTATGGGGAATGGGACAGGGGGGGGGGGGGGGGGGTACAGTGAAAGTCTACAAGAGCCCCTTTACACGGCGCGACGCTTCAGGTGTAGTTTCAAAGAAATAGACTTGGTGTAGGGACCTAAGCTTTATTGAAATCATAATGAGGGTCTTACACTTGCGCGACCGTTCAATATTGTTATTACTATATTTTTCAATATAATCTGGATCTAGGCTTAGCACTTTTTATTTATTTATCCGTATTAATTTATTGTCACGTTTTTGAAAGCTGGGCACCTGTAGTATAAACTATGATATTGCATTTAGGTATTCGATTTAGGTAATTTTACTATAAAGCTTGTATTCACTCAATCTGAATTGAGATAAGGCGTGATACCATTATTTTATTGACGATATAATGACGCTCTAAGGTTTCCTTCCAGATTGCGTAGTTTTTACTTTATGTTATACAACCGACATACGTCTGAAAAAAGATAGCTTCATTCGAATGTATTGCAACAAAGAACAGTCGTCTGTTTTGCATGACAATATCTGCACCGTCTAATATTTTACCATCTTAAAAAAATAATTAAGTACAAGAATAAAAAAAAAACTTTCTAGACGCTCTACTATTTGGACAAAATGTACAACATATTTGTGTCCGTTGTGTCAAGTTGTGACAAGAAGGACTAAGTCACGTTTATCCCGTTTAAGTATAATGTTACGTGTACGTTTTTTCCTTGAGCTTGTATGGTGTATGTAAACCTGAATCTTACACGATGTTGACATATATCCTCACATTCAGCATGAGATTATCGCCGAACCGTGGCAACTTTTTAGTACAACCGGATTCAAATCCGGGTACCGGAATTGATATACGTGATCGGCCGTAAAGCAAATCGCAAGAAGATTAGTATATCGTAAATGTTTCAAATAAACGTGACCTTCAGGAGAACAGTCCTATTATCCTATGTAAAGGGTTGTATTGTCAGTTACTAACTGTAACTGTTATATTTCGCAGCTTACTACTGTTGTATGTGTTAAGAAATATAAATGTTAGCAAGCACTGACCTGAACTATCTTCTGTTTCCGTCGTCAACCCGGGTAGAATATCTTCTGGCCTGATACGTCCACGACTTCCTTTTATCCACAGGTTCGGTAGAGGAACTGTCTAAGTATTTAATGGAGCGAGGAAAAACAAGGGGTTGGCTAAAACGTATTAACGTTTGCCGTTCGCGCATTGAGTAGTTGTTCTTAGTTAGAGAGTGAGTGCCAGATGAATTGCGGGTGTGTTAGTGAATGGACTAGGTTAACAGGGGAACCCCTCGAATGGGCACCCGCCCAACATGACCCTGGCACCCGCAGGAGCGTAGGCATTTCTCCCGCGTCTCCTTAGCCGGAGTGGTACAACACTAAAATACTAAAGTAAATCGTCTGTTAATTAAGGATATCAGGGGCACTTCTTATATGGGATCGTAAGGTTGTTAACGCATCTACAAACCAACTGATATTGCAAGTATCTGTTGAAGGCGGTAATCGCTAAAGCGCTGGCTAGTTCGCCACATTTACAACAGACTTCTAGAAAGGATGAAGTTATGTTTTTTCTGTTTGTTAGCTCAGAACTCCGTCATTTATGAACCGATTTTAAAAATTCTTCTTGCGTTGGGTTTGGCTTAGCTGCCATGTGGTCACATTAATTTCATCGGTATCGGACCTTAGACTCCCGAGATACACCAGGGAACTCCAACAAAAGCATAATCGAATGGAAAATATTGTTTGGCTTTTGTTACTAAAAATGTTTTACTTGTTTCATGAGTATATACTATGTATAGTTTGTTCAGTAGTTGTGAATGTACCTCTCATTTTATTTGGAATCCATATATATTTTTAATCTGAATCTTAAGACTAATAATAATCGACTGTATTGTTCAGGGCGCACTATGGATATACTGAGCCCAATAGAAATTGCTGAAGTTACGTAATGCGGTTGTTAGTTACTAGAAAGGGCCTCTGGGTCCTGTCTCGTGCGCTCTCGAATGTCTGTAATGTAATAAACTCACAAGGCAATGATTTGTTGTAATTACACCAATACGCCACAGTCTAACAAATAGTCTTCATAGATATAGTTTCTATATGTTATGCTTATTCACTCGCAAATTTCGAGTATACTGGAGGATTCATGGAGATATGATAGACTGCTGTATTTTTTTGGATGTCCTGATGTCTATGTTATTAACCCAGGCTACCGGCTGCTATAAGGATATTATGTACTGTTTAATTATCTCAATCTCGGTACAAATGGCTGTGTGCAATAATCTTATGTCAACACGTTTGATAATGTAACGTCTTAATGCTGTAATAGACTAACACAGTAACTAACTTACAATTACTACTAGTAGTAGTAATTGTAAGTTAGTTACTGAGTTAGTCTATTACAGTATTTACTATATTAGTTATTAGTACTATATTACCTAATCTTATTTTTATTCTGACAAGCGTGAAATAACTTTTAATTTATTCTGTCATTAAATTTTTACTTTTGAAGTATGGACAGCACGATCTGAAATAAATTATTTATAAATTAGATTTTCTCTTTGGATGGTCTACGATATCGCTCAATTTTTTATTAACACGGATAAGTCAAATTTAGACTTAGGTAAGATTACGTATTTACTAAGGTTTAATTAGATTTTCAGTATATTGTAATAAGGCATTCCCTACAATTGGCGACCCGATTGGCCTAGTTAGTGATCCTGCATCTTGCACCAAAGTGAGCGGGTTCGATCCCCACTATTGGAAACATATTGTGTAATGAACATAGTGTTTTTACAGTGTCTGGATGTCAAAATAAAAGTTTAACGTTTAAGTACATTTATCAGTTATCAAGTACCCAAAGAACAAGCGATGCTTAAATGGGGACTAAAGACAACGGTAAAAATATGTCCTCGCACAAGAAGCTACGCAGTGCTCCGATCGCCGCCATGTCTCTTGTCGTGGACCAAGCAATTCGTATCTATTCTTCAATAAGTGCCAGTATTATAAATCAATAGAACATAAGTTGTTCATCAATTTCAATGGCTCAATATAATTTTTTGACGGCTAGTTTGCTGTCAGCGCGGCGGCTTTGACAGCTTCGGAGGAAGAGGTCCGCTGGCAGACGACCCACGGACAACTTAGCTGGTGCACGACGACGACACGAAGACGCCGTCCGCTCCGCTACAATCGGCAACACTCTGCTAACGAAAGATGGACAATCGACTAACAGGGGGGTATGACACGATCCAAGGGCCCCTCAGATGGATGTTCGAATCGCGGCTTGGATCGCAAGAAAGGTTGAAACGAAGGAATAAGTTGA